GCCCTGAGTTGATGGAAAGGCTGAGGCTGGAGGTATCACCAGGCTGAAGCTGTTGGCCTCCAAGCTGGTAACAGCCTAATGACTCCATACATTTACAAAAGCTCCCAGCAAAATTCCTTCAAAGCAAAACAAAAACAGAGCTCCAGATTTGTTGGACCAAGTTCCCTAGAACATTCAGCTGTCTTTGAAGCAAGTAGCAATTCCCAAGCAGGTACAAGGAGAAAAAATGATCACCATGGGGCTAATCTCCCTCATGAATATTCCTGTGCTCATATGGAATTTGGTCTGGGAACAAAAGACTCCTCAGCTCTGCACCAAGTTCTGCTGCTGTCATGCTGCAAAGCCAAGGTATTTAAACTTCTGGCTCGCAGGGATTTCCAACACAGATGACTCAGTTTTTAGCACTTCGGTTATCCCAATTAAGTGTGCTGTACTTAAACTGAGGGTGAAAAAGAAGTGTGCTTCAGATTAACTAATGATACCAGCAGATTACCTGTGGAGCTCACACGCACACACCCTCAGCACAGATCTGTTAGGTAAGTTCCAAGAACCTGAGACACACCAGCTCAGGCAGCTGCACTCCTCTGCACTGAAACTCTCAGCAGCAGAACTACCAAGTGCTAAAAATGCTGCCGTAAGGATGTGACTGAAACGATTACTGAAGCACAGGAGGACAGCAGCCTCCACCCATTACTCCTTCTTTATTTCCCATAAGCCAAATTGAGAAAGGTCAAGATCTGAAAAAGCATTACAAAGTGCTGTGGACATCTCTGTTAAGAATGTGTGAGTTTACAAAGCTGGGACAAGCATAAGAAGAGAGGCATTAGTAGAGATAAAACACCATCATCTAACATGTAAAAGTCAAATGCAAATAAGGAACATAGCTGAGCAAAAACCCTGATATTAAATCTTAAATAGTGAAGCGAGTTCCGGAGGACTTTGATAGACATCTCAATAAAATGCTAAGATTGATAACATCTGTTTCCTGACACATTGGCAGCACAAAGCTTGCCAGAAAGTCTGTGAGGCTGATCAGGGCATGCACTGAATCCCTAACCAGCGTTCCTTTTGGAGTAGATACGTGCAGCATTGAGTCTTTTGAAAAAGAGAGCAGACAAACAGAAAAGTCCACCTCCACCCCACTCTCACCTACTACAAATAAATAAAGGTTAATAAACAAATAAGAGGACAAACGTGGCTTTGTGTTTGTATTTCAGAGTGGGAATTCACCCAGCAGCTGCTTTTCTCCCACTGAGGTGAGCACTACAAAACCTTCTCCACCCAAACATGAATTTCTGTGAACTGCAGAAATCCACAATGCAAATGAAGGACTTTCATTCCACGTAAATCCCAAACAGCCTGAACGTCCTACACCATAATCATGTTACTGGCCTACTTTGTGGGACTGACCCAAGTCTCCTGAAATTCCTTTGTTTCCAGACTAAGAACTTTTATTATCTAATAAAAAACTTTAAAGACTTTGGAAAATAAATACAGAGACGAGACTCACTCGTGAGGCAGAGCAGGTGAAAGAGTGACATCGGTGCTCCCAGTTTTGAGATGAAGGAGGACCAAAGATGCCAGGCAGAAGCAGCTCCCTTCCTCTGCTGACTTTCCAGCTCTGCACATCTCATTACTCACAGAGATGGTGACTCCACTGTAGATTTTGTTGAGGTGTACACGAGTGCCATTTTAATAAAACTGCAGATGCAAAGAGCCACTGAAAGGCAAACTTATGTTACAAAGAAGTAGATTTGGGCTTTTACTGATCCCTCATCTCTCCGTATCGTTGAGCCTCATTTGGTGCAGAGCAGCCCACAGTTACCCCCAGACAGTTCATTCTGTGTAACAAGTGCTACCTGTATGCAGGGTGTTACAACAAGTGATGAAGGAGGTGAATGAGCAAACGCTGAGCAATCAGAGAAGTTAACTGTGTAGAAAATTATTTGGGAATGTGGGGACTGGGGAAGGGAGGAAGAATCGACAGAGAGACGTGGAGCTCTCAGCCCAGTGTACGTTTTCTGAGCACCCTTTAGCCAAGAGCACAACAGGTCCATATCAACTCCTCGCTGCCTCCCACTCCCCTCCTCTAAGGATTCTCTGAGCTTACAACGTTTGACAACCATCAGAGCCTGACCGTCCTGAAAGGCTGCAATGCTCTGCATCTCCCAGATCAGAACAGAAAAAGATCACATCAGCACCAGAAATAAAGCAAATCTCTCTGGGCTCAGATTGCAACGACAGCAGCCAGCCGTGAGGCAGCCGCAGCCACACAGCCTTCTGATCCACTGCTGCTGGAGCAGCCAGGATGTGGTGAAGGGGAACAGTTTTCTTTAAAAGGTTGCCTTTCTTTTTAACCCCAGAGGAATAAACTACACCTATAGATTTTAAAATACAGTGAAGAAGAACAAACCTAATCACCAATCACAGGACCAGCCCAGCTGACAAATCCACCAGCCGCCTCGCTTTGGAAATAACTCTTTGCAGCTCACGTAGACGCTGTACAAAGCATCTGTTCTTTGTCTGAGCCCTTTTGCTTGTCACATTTCAAAGACTCCTTTAACCAGCTAACGAGGCAATGGAAAATATGCTCAGATGCACATGGGGTCATGAAGAGAGAAGGAATCAGCCGGGACGCAGATATATACACCTCCTTATATTGGCTTCAGCTTCAGAGCACGCTTTGAAAAAAATAACAGGGAAAAGAGCAGCAATAAAACGTGCAGTTTGGGGAGTAAGAGAAACCTGCTTCAACCTCTACGCCTTAGGAACCTCCACACCTTAGGCGTGAAGCTTATTGTGAGAAAATGACGCTGATAAGCAGTGAGAAGGATTACTGTGCAGTGGGAAACATTTGAAGCCTGGTATAGATGCCACAGAAAGCAATGGCCTGGCAAAGTGTGATGGAGGAGATGCAGTTTGGGAGCTGTGCAGTCTGCATTCACCTCCTATCCCAGCCAGGGACCAGGCAACCTTGACCAAATACACAGGAGAGGATTTGAGCACCCACAAACCTACATGGGAGATAACGAGAGCTGCTGGTGTCTTGTCTCCATGGCATGGATGGGCCTTCAGGGTCTTTTGGCTCATGCACAGGTTAGACAGAGGGGAGAAACTGCAGCTGTTCATTCACTGGGGTTTGAGAATATTTTCCGTTTTTTTCTCAGGTGAGAACATTGTCAAGCCTCCCACTTGGCACATGGATGGATTTCAGATGCAGCATCAGTGCAGGCGGGTGGGAAAACACAAGGAGCAGAATCACAGAATCACAGAATGGTTTGGGTTGGAAGGGACCTCAAGGATCATGGAGCTCCAACCCCCCACCAGTGCAGGGCCACCAACCTCTACCTTTAACAGCAGCCCAGGCTGCCCAGGGCCCCATCCAACGCCTTGAACACCTGCAGGGATGGACGGGGCATCCACAGCCTCTCTGGGCAGCTGTTCCAGCACCTCACCACTCTCACAGCAAACAACTTCCCCCTGACATCCAACCTCAATCTGCCCTCCCTCACCATTCGATAATTTCTTGTGCAAAGGACTGAAGAGCTCTGTGACAAAACATGATGCTCTCTTAAGAGTGGTTTCCGAAATTCTGCTGGGCCATCAAAGCCATCAACCACCTTCTAAGTCCTTCCTTTGGAAGGGATAGCAGACATCTCTGAAAGCAAATCCCAGACAGCCTTCCTGTTTGCTACATGACCAAAATGCAAAGTGGCTCAGTTGGTGAAACCAGAGAGGAGCCTTGTGCATTGACTGAGGACACAAAAAAATGGAAGGTTACTGACGTTAACCTCAACAGAACTGACTCACCTCAGCTTTACAGGAGGGACCCCGCTGCAGAAAAGTAACTCCACAAAAATCTCCTTTCATCCACGATCAAAAAAAAGCTGTGCACACCAGTTTGGGCACTGCTAAACCTTCTGACCAACGCGATGTAGTGGTTTGCTGCATCTGTCTGTCTATTGTCCATCATTCTTCATTTGTGAGTTTTAGAGGGCTGGAGCTGGTTTCTGTGCAGTGACTGTGAAACACAAGGAATATCACACTCCTGTTTCACAGTGAACACTAATTTTTTTTTGGAAAAAATTGAATGCAGATCAAAATATTAACACTACAAACTAAAGAAAGTGATTTAAAGATAAACAGGTTCAAGAAGCAGGTTAGCTTGAAAGCAAGCTGCCACAGCCCACACCTATCAAAACCACTACCAACAAGCACAAGTTTTCTTTCTTGTTTATTAAGACTCCAGGAACAGACAGCATATCTGATTCTGCATTTCTTGAGAATCTCAAAGTGTCCCTGTTACAGCAAAGCACCATGCACAGCAATAGATTACCATGTCAGATGATCCCTTTGTGCAATAGGAGCACTTTGCCAAATCTTGGGAACACTTAGGACAAAGCCATAGATGGAAAAAGCAGCTGAAGGTTTTATAAAGCAAGAAAACATCAGAAGCTGGAGTGAGAAAAGTTAGTTACAATTCAGATACCCAACACAGTGAAGATGCAGAGGGAATCGTCCAGCACAGGGGAAGAATCTGTTTGATTTGAGCAGGTTATAAAAGTAGTACTTCTGCTGCCAGTCACAGATGTAAATAAGCAACAGGATTCAAATGGTTGTATTCAAAAGATGAGTCTTCTAGATTCACTTGCTCAAAGTAGAAACAAGAGATAGGAGATCTTGAGTTGCACAGTTTATCTTACTGAAAGAAAGGTGCCACCACCATTTGTAGACTGCAGCTTTTTTCATGTTTTTCACTAATCTTTCTTTCTATGATAGATGTATTCAATGCAACAGCCTGTTATACAGTTTCAGACGTAGCTGATAAGAGGTCATGAAGAACAAGAGATAACTTGCATGGCAATGAGGTCAGCACAGTACTGGGTGAAATGTAATCAGAAATTTGATTACACCTTGGAGTCCACACTGATCACATCTTCAACTTCTTTTTGAGAGAGGTTGATGTTCTGAAAATACATCCAAGAATCAACACTTTCAATTAAGTAAACTTGCTATATTTATAATCTGCAGAATAGTACATTATTATTTTTAAATGTAGGCTAAAAGTGAGATAGCTCATTTTTTCCTCCTCTTCAGAGCTTAAGACATTTCCCACCCTGAGGCAGTGTGCACATACAAAAAAGCAATGAGGTTCTCGTAGTCAATTACAGAAAGATAAGAAGCTCACTACGACTGACAGGAAACGTTAACCACATGGAGCACTTTGGACCATCTATCTCTCAGAAGCAACGTGTAAAATTCTGCTGCTGCTTTCTACAGAAACAATGCTATCTCTAAAAGACAGATGCTTCAGAAATTCACCTGGTGAAGTTACAGTTCCAGAAAACTCACGTTACTTTTGTGCTCTTAAGCAAATGTGCACATTGTGCAAATGATTTCATTATATAGTATAAAATGGGAATTCTGGTGTGATCCCAGCACTGCAGGTACTGAGACAAAGACTTGGCATGGCTCACGATGGCTGAAACCTGAATATTTGTCCCCTCACATCTCACAACAGCAGTGTTTTACACAGAAGCCAGTTCCATCATTAACGATTTTTTATGCCTCTAAAATGCTCTTTATTGCAAAGCTCTTCAGTGCAGGTTGTTGTGTTGTGACAGAAGAATAAGTTAACCCATTCTTAGATAGGTGAACTCCATTCTTTGTTTCTCTATGGCAAACAACATTATTTCTATGCAGCTCAGAAAGCACTGCCTTCTCAAAGACTGCTCCCCACTGCCCCTATGATCTTTCTCTTGCACCTTTAAACGTGGTAATAGGAAAGTGTCAGTCAGAAAAGGTTGAGGAAAAAAATGGTTTCTTCAGAGGAAAATTTATAATTAAAGTGCATGAAAACATTTAATGTCACAGGGTGAACCACAGTCATTGATGAAATGCACTTTAACACTGATAATGCCTTCAATTCTTCCAGCTGCTATAGGAAGAACTACTCCTTTGAAGATGGAAGCAAGGTTGCAAACAAGAAAACCCGCTAAAGATTTCTGGTTTGTCCCTTTAGGGGCATCATCTCAGTTGCTGGTAGCTGGGGCTGCAGCAGTGACTGCTCCTCTGAAACAGCTGATCTCAGTTGTGTCTGTGGCACCTGTTTCCGTGATCTCGTCTCTATAGCAGGAGACATAAAACAGCAGCCCTTTGTCAGCAGGAAGCTAACAAAGGGATCCAGTTTTTAGAAGAATGCAGGTTTAGGGAAACCCAACATCCACCCAATTAAGTATTTCAAATGCTGAAACCTCCCCATTCCTGCTGTTCTGGCATCTAGAAAGAGACTATGCTGAAAGAGCAGGAAGCTGTGTAATTCTGATGGAGATTCTGCCCAAGCTGAGCAAAACATTTCTAGAGAAATTAACAGCTCTCCATTCTCCATACAGAGCTGCCTCCCAGCTAAACTGAGAGAAGCAAACAATTAGATCTAAGGCAGAATTTGATGAAGTTATGAGAGTCAGTGCCCTGACATGCTGTAAAAGCTTTGATTTTAACCTGTAAAATGAGTGGGTCTACATTTTAGCTTTTTTTTTTTAAATACAAAAAGCAACATGCATTTGGGATACTGATCTAAGCCAAAGGCAAGAACAGCCCTTGCTCCACTCAGCAGTGCTTCCTGCCTATTTCCAATAGAGAGAAACAGGAATGGCCTCTCCTTTGTTCTCGTTATTTATTCCTGACCTCCAGTTCTTTATGTGCTCAGCTCTCAAGTGATGCTGCTACTATTTAGTAATCTGAAACAATTTCTTGAGCAAACTGGCCTAAAATTTCTGTTACCAAAAGACATAACATGCAAACAGTGGCTGAGCAGGAAGCCAAAAGGACACAGAAGACATTTCTTCATTACTTGACTTTACCTTCCGGATTTATTTCCAAATCATTGGTGTTTCCAGGCTCTTCCTTGAGAACTCCCACTTCCTTTGCCCAACTTGTCCATTTTATTTCCTCTACTCTGGAGAAACAAAATGCAAGAGATACAGATGCATGAAGCACAGCATTTCATCCAGGTCTCATTGTCCTGTGGCCAACCCCATCCTGCTAACACAGACTTAATACTTTGGTTGTAGCAACAGCACCCTACAGAGCTTTTTCCTGAGCTTCTCTAGTCTAAGCTCTCTGAGGTAAATATCTATCCCTCTGCATGTGGTATGCTGGCCTATGCCACTTGTTTGTTTTAAAATACTCCAGTTCCTCCCAGAGAACACACTTAATAGAAAGGAACCTCTTAGATTCCCCTTTCTATGCATGCTTCATTGCACATAAAACCCTGGAGCTACAAAATTGCTGCTGGCACTTTGTTTCTCTGAGTAAAGAAAAGTTTACCTGTGCTCTGAGTCCCTCAGTGTGTGGAGAAGTACTGCCTTTTCACGTTGCACTCATACTGCATGCTCCTGAGGGAAGGGGATACCAGCCTACACCCTTACAACTACAACCAACTCCAAGCACAGCTACTTGAAGCATCAGAAAGCATTGTTGCAGACAGCCTGCCACCATAACCACAGATGTGGGCTAAACAGCACACGTCTTGGTGACTTGCTCTCAAACCTCCAGCAGTGAAATCACCAGCCAGTGTGCATGTACCAGGAACATGTGGTTGAGACACTCTGCCAAGTCAGTGTTGAAACTCCTGTGGTGGAGCAGGGTTAGCAGCTTATCGTTCACAGGAATCCATCACTGTGCTGAAGTTTAAGTTTAAGGGTAACAGCACATCTGTCTTACCTGAAGCACCACCTCTCATCTTTTTTATTGAGGCCCACTGACATCAAGCAGCCAGATCTCCTCTTTCCTCCTTGGCGCCACAGCCAGGCCTTCTCTATTTCTAGAATAGCAATAGCCCTCTGAAAGAAGAAGTCCGTGTCAGGGGAAAAACAGGCCATGCAGAGCCCAGTCCCTCATTTTAATTAAATCTTCCCCCCGGTCAGCAAGTACTTTGGCTTGGAAAATCACTTCAGAGATCAGCCTCAAAGTGTTCCTTAGCTTAACTGTATCAGACAAAATTGTAATTCACTCAAGTTACTTGTGCACATGGATCTGAACAGGCTAGTAGTCAGGCAAACAGCACGAGCTTTAAATACACCTAAAAATGATGTTAGAGTTTATCCCCAGAGTGGTAAATTTATACAAAAGAAAACTTTACAGTTGAGGTTTAGGACAAAGACAGTGTCATGCCTGAGGTTGTGAAATTCAAGTAGGAATTTGGACCATTATAACTGCTGAGCAGCACTGTGTCTCACCTGCAGCTTCCAAACACTTTTGCTGTAACCAGAAATATCAGTGACAGTCTCACTCATGAGTGCAATCAGCATGTTGAGCAATAGGATGTAAGTGAGGATCACAAAAAGCAGCAGCAGAAGCATGACAAAGTATCTGAATCTGGCATGTTCGTGAAAATCCAGGTCACCCATCCCAATGGTGATCTTGAAGAGCTCCAGGGAGACGCTGAGCAGCCCACCATACATAGCATGGCTCCCAGCATTCTCCATCTGAGCAACAGATTTGTTCTGAGAGAGTGAAGGAGCATCTCCCATCAGCGTAACCAGAGCTACGAGAAAAACAGAATTTGAATCCTCCTCAGAAAGACATTACTTCCTGCAGCCCAGCCTATAACATGATGCTGATTAAGTCCTTACCTGCAGCAAAGCCAAAGAGGAAGATAATATAAACCAAGAGGAAACGCAACAGATCTCTCAGGATAGTCTGAAATAAATCAGGAGGAAGTGTCATTCCTTCTCAAGCAGCTGTTTCCAGATTATTTCAATGCATATAGCTCTTCTATCATCACTGGCTTTCACACAAGTGGTGATCAGACCCCTTCCCTCCTCATCTCACCTCTGCTTTGTCTTGCTTTTCTAGTCCCAAACTCTCACATGGATCTGGAAACACTTCTCAGTCCAAGCACAGCTTTTCCAGGGAACTTACACTGGCTTTGACTGCTGGTTTTGTCACTTTCTGACCAACAAGTAAATGTCAGCTGCTCTAACTTGCCAGATTCAAAGATGGCAAACCACTGGTTTGCCACAACTGTACTTCCTTGAAGAAGAAATCGAATCTCCTTCTGCAATTTATTTCAAGTCCATATATCAATTCATTTTATGGTTTTCGTGGTCTCGAGAGAATAAAAGTAATTGCAGGAATTCTATTAGCTCCTGACACATAAAAGGCTTTAACATAAAATGTCTCCCAAGCACTGACCTTCTGGATCATGACACTGTAAATGCCAATGCGCTGAAAGCCGCGGGTGTAGTACAGCATGTTCACCCATCCCAGAAGCAGGGAGAACACCATCACTGCCACGTAGTTTTCTGAACTTGCGCCATACAGGACTGCTGACAACAGCAATGAGAAAGCCTGGATGAAGCTGGAGAGAAGTAGAATGAGTGACACAGTAATTTGCTTCAACAAAAAGGCCCGTTTGCAGTTCTGTTTTGCGAGGAAAAGTGAACATGTTTTACCAGGCTACAGAGAGCACACAAAGTGACAGCTATTCAGGCACATCGTTTATATAAGCAAATCCTGTTATAACCACATGTGCATATTGTTGCAGTTTTGTTATGAACTGGTTAATCTCACAGTATGGAAGCTCTCGACTGCTTAATGCAACTCATGTAACCGATAGAAAACAGACAAAGAACTGTAACTCACAAATACATGCATACATACATGCAAACACATGCATCTACACATTTGTCCTCAAAAAATATGAAGTCTCTTTCTTTTCGATCGAATTTGAGCCACGGTGATGACATGATTCAAAACCTGAGCTCTTTTTCTAACATGCTCTAAACTGGAATAACTGGAGATCTGCCCTTTGCTGTATTCCACCACAAATCCAAAGACAGGCTCTACCCCACTAAGTCTATTACAACAAAGGGTTATGACAAGATGCAGCAGGTAGGAGAAACAAGCAGGAAAAGGGTGGAAAGAGGAGACAGCGGCAGAGAATCAATCTTTCCTGCTCACCATCTCTCTAGTAATGTTAGGGCAACTTAGCAGCACACAGCAGAGAACCAATTTCACCCGTGCTTTCATTGCGCAAAAAACCTCAAGAGACATACATCAAGATCTCAACACAGCTGTCAGAACACATAGTCTTCAGGGACTGGCGTCTCCTCCGCAGATACAGACTCTAATTGAGAAAAATCAATGGTAGCCATTCATCAGAGCAACAGAACATCCTAAAGATTGATTCCTGCCTGGCACAGCCCATTATATAGGAGAGAGGTTCACTCCATAAGCTCCCTTTTGTGCTTTCATTGTCAAGATCTAAATTTTCAGTTAGTCAGCCTTCCACAGCCTTATTTGTAAAAGGAGAAGTACAAACAAAGGCTAAATAATGGCTCAGCCTTATGTCCTTATTAACAGTATTAAGAGCATTAAATGCTAGAGATGCATTTTAGTACCATAAATCACAAGTCACCCCTAATTAATTACTGTTGTGAGCCTATTCCTCCTCTTGCCCAGGAGCCTGGCCTATAGCACTCCTGTCATTGCAGGATCACTCTGACACTGTGTTTCAGAGCAGGGTTCCCTCCTGCCATCCACTCATGCACATTCTGACCTCAGAATCAAACAGAACCAAATCTGTTGCCTCCATGTCAGTGACGGTTTTGTTTGCTTGTTTTCATTCTTGCAATGAGACCAGACCAGGGAGCCACATACCTGAGCAAAAATTAGGTATACACCTCCAAGCAAAATAATGATCAGCCCAGAAACCCACAGGAAGCCTCCAGCTGTGAACTCCACTGGAAATGAAGGCTGCAAGAGAAAGAAAGAAGCAAAATACCGAAGGCTGACATTGGCAGTTGTGATAAACACCCCAAGCCTTTTAAAACTCAACTCCATTCATTCAGACCTTGTTAGATAAAAGAACATTGGGCTTACCTTTACCCTTAAGGGCTGATAGTAGGCAATGGCTGTAAAGATGATCATGAATGACAAGTATGAGATAAAACTGAAGTAGAATCTCTTGGAAGCAAATGTTTCCCACTTCTGCTGAAGCAATTTGTTCAGAGGCTCCAAAACCACCATTTTGTACCGATTCTATGAAGAAGGGAGAAAACCCACCATCAACAACAAATGTATCAAAGTATCAACAGAAATGTGAATTCACCTTTTTTAGGATTGGAGTTCAGTGGCTGCAATTAGGCTATCCCTAAGGGTTTATTCAGTTAAGGCTGTCAGTATGAAAAACATTAAACATCCCATGGGAAGTTAATTCTGTTTGGCTTCATGAGAAAAGCCAAGCAGCTTAGGACAACCTCAGCTTAGGACAACCAAAGGATCAAAACCACCTCAAGGTGGTGCAAAAAACTGTTGCTGTCTTTAACTTTTAGTAAAAAGCACTCACTGGTGTGTCACTGCTGTATGCCAGAATCTCCAGCACAGAGTTTTCCTCAAAGCTGTCTAGAGAAGACAAGTCATAGAGGGAGACATGGATAGGTCCATAGGTCCATTCAGTGAACTTGCGGGACAGGTGCCTGTACACTGGGTCTTTGATCTCTCTTTGGATGATGTGTTTGAAGATCTGAAGAGAAAAATATCAGAAAAACGTGGATGCAATTAAGATACAAAGTGACCCAAGCATACCCAAATCGCCTTCAAATAAACACCTTGCTTTCTGCATTACACACTGTTGTATCCGAACACCAGACTACATGTTTAAAATCAGGCAAGGTACTGCTACATCAGACCCTGCTGTTATGCTGAGGATGTATGCTGCAGTTGTCATTGTTTCCCAGCAACTCCTGGAATTCCCTCTATTTGTCTTTACCTCCACTTTGCCTGTCTTGGCAGCAAGTTGCAGGGGATTTAATCCATCATAATTCACAATCTCCTCCAGTTTCACTGTCGGGTCAGTCTTCACACCTGCCTTCAGGATTTCAACGTATACCGTGCTCACAAACTTGGTGTTCTCCTCAGTGTCATCTGCAATCATCACCAGGGCATGGAGGACTGTGTTTCCTTGTGTATCTTGCTCCTGGAGTCTGGCTTTTTGGTGGGGGTTGTTTATAAGATATTCTACCACCTCAAACTGGTTGGTACAGGCAGCCAAAGAGAGGGGAAGTTCACCTGAAGAGATTAAGACAGTAGTTGGGAGGGGCAGCAGGAAATGTGAAAAGAAATTGAAAGAATTGAAAGTGAAGTTGTGAACAGAGGGACAAACCCAGCTAGAACTAGTGGCATCAAACACAGCAAGGCATTAAAACAACCCAAAGAAATGCGTTCCACACAGACTCACCAAAATAAAAGCAAACTCCCTCTTTCTTCTTCCTGAAGAATTCACCATGAGCTCTGGCATGGACGTCAGCTCCATTCTCTACTAGAACTTTCACTATGTCCAGACTCCTTTTCTCTATGGCAATATGGAGTGCTGTCTGGCCTAAGGAAACAGGCAAAAAACCATAAATCAGTACCAGTATCAGAGAGAACAAGCAGAGGACTCTTTGGCAAAGCACTGTTAAAACAGTAAAGGATAACTCAGCTAGCAGAACTCATTCTTTAACAGCTATGTAGTATTCCTTTTTCACTTTCAGAAATGCTTTATAAACTTTGCTACACAGATTCTTTCATATTTGTGGATTTATTAAACACGTATTATTTCTATTTTATAGACTAAAGACAAAGTTGCAAAAGGCTGAGGAGGACAGTGCCAGAATCAGAAATCAGAAGTGGAAAGATGAGCATGCTGTTACTGTAATTGCATCAGAACTCTGGAAAGGCAGTGCCACATAAACACCAAAGCCCTTTCTTTCTCTTGTACCTGTGTATCTCACCTGTCTGATGGGGAGGTGCATCTGACACAACATCAGCAGAAACCTTACCTCTGTAGTAACAGTCAGAGCATGCCACATTGACAAGAGGCCTGGGATTCTGTGTCTTCTGATCTATTTCCAGCAAAAGAGGGATTGTGTCATTCCTTCCATTTTTTAAATTCAGCAGAGCTTTCATTAAGCAAGTCTTCCCAGTCTTTGCATCTAGTAGGAAAAAAAAAGTATCAAGTGGGTTGTGGATATGTGCCTTGCACGTATCTATATGACCTGAGTCAGCAAGCCCAGAACTTAACAGTCAGTGTAGGACCAAACCCAATAATTTTAATGGCATTGGTATTCTAAGTCTGCAGCAGAGGCAAAAGCCTTAGGAAATATGCAACTAATGGCACTTCCCTGTACTACATTAACAAGCATTGCCTCTGCTAACCCAGTTTCTGAAGTACTGAGCAGGAGCCTACCTGTGTATTCAGAATTGGTGAGAAATTTTGAGGTCCTCCTTAAGTACTCAAGTAAGCCATCCAGTGCCTCAGGGCTGCCCCGTGAGACTGCACTGAAGAGCCTGTCTCTGTCAAAGCGATTGGGGTCCTTTTGGCTGCAGAAGAAATGCACAGTGTTAAGAAGTCCTGGAGACTGTAAGACAAGAGCATGCAATACGTTCCAGTCGGTTGTGTAAGAAAAAGAGGAGAGAGGTAAAAAAAAGTTTATCAAAAACAAAACAAAAAAAAAAAAACAACTATTTTTGAGTTAAAGGAAAAATAGAGACAGCTATTTCCCATAATGCTCTTAAGTGATTGCTGTTTCCATCAGCTGGAGCTCTTCCCAGATCCAGCCTGATGTGCAATCCTGGAATGTATCCAGAGCACAGACAAGCCCAAGATAGCTGTAGGATCAGAATCAGTCCCATCACGTGGTGTAAAGCACTACATGAGCTCATTTACATCCCTTCCTGGCAAGAACAGTTCAGATGTATAGAGCTCCATGCTACGTTGCTCTTACACTCAACTTGGCTTATTTGGTGTTATTTGGTTCAAATAGACCCCAAATAAACCACACACATTGTACCTTCCAAGTACAGAGAGGAAGGGCTAATATGTCCCTCTCTACCTTTATTTACCTCTCACCAGACAGCTGTCATATTTCTGCATTGCCACTTTTAGTTTCAACTTTTGTAAAGTCAATAGGCAGAGGTCAGTACAGATCAACAGTGATCCTATCCTTGTCAAATAATCAACAATTACTCACTTGCTCACAAGTCCTGGCCGATAGTTCAGGTTAATCATGACTTTAGGAGAGTAGTCACTGCTTTCCTTCTGGTAAGGTGACTCCAAGGGCCGGGGCTCTCCCTTCCTTCCATATTGTCCTGATCTTTCTTCCTTTGAACTAGATGCAGGCTTATCCTCCTGGATGCTGTCATCTGTTTCTAGCAGTCCTACCAACCTGTTCCTCTGACACGGGCCTGACTGATCATTTGTGAAGTTATCCATTTCTAGCAGAGGTGGGCTTGCAGATCACCAGATGTTCCCCACTGGGAGGATAAACCTGCAAGGGCATGGGAGAATTAATACAATTTGTTTGCAAACCTAGAATGTGAGCCATGTGGCACAGACATAGAGGAAATATTTCCAGTCCAATGTTCCTACAGTTGACTATGGGTGTCTTGAGAGAAGAGATTCAATAAAATTCTGCACAATCGGGGGTATTTGAATAAAGGATCAATGTCTTAAACATGGCACACCTAGAAAAGCAGTACAAGAAATACAGACTGCCAGAAGTAGTACAAGAAATACAGACAACTCCTCGAACATCTGAACCCCTTTTGTGAGATGATCTCACCTGTTGGCAGCAGCATGGGTTCCTTACATAAAAGGCAAAGAGAGTGGATCTTTAGGAGACTACGATCATTGTTCTTGTCTCAGTGCAGCCAATACAAGCCAGTCACTAAGTGGCCAAAAGATAAGATTAACTATAGATTAACTTTTTTAAAAAAGAGCAAAAAGCTGGTTCGTGTTCTCTGATGTTAAGAAAGGCACTGTTTCCATGGGGAAAACATTTGCAAAAGTTATGTTCCTCTCATGTTTTGTTGCAGTGCACTGGGGCAAAATATGAGAGAACTCCCCAGTGTTGGCTACCCATGTGAATACAGGCTTCCAACTTCCAGCTCCATAGCACAGGCACATACACATTCTGGCTGCCATATGGACACTCATAGTGCTCAGAACCTGAGCACAGCTCAGCTCTCCCAAAAGCAATGCTGGATGCAGATGTGCACAGAACCTAAGTATTCATTACAGCACCCAGCCAGCCCACTTGTCTCATTTAGTGCTTTTTACCCTTCTGAGACATCTCTTCATGTTTATCTGGATACATCCCAGATCCACACCCAGTGCAAGCTGTCTGCAGCCAGCACATGATGGAGAGTCGCAGTTTGTGAAGCAGCAAGGAAACATCCACAATTACCAGCCTGAACCAGAGCTTAATAACTCTGTCCTATTCACACGTACTCCCTCCAAATGGTTAACAGATTTTCTGTCCCTTGCTGGGACTAAGCCAGACTCCATAGCCTATACCAGCAAGGAGGTACATGGACACACCATAAGGATTCTGGCTTAGATTAGGATGCAAGGCAGCATAGTTAGCTCTAAGCAGAAAGCAGCTACAGAATGTCTTTATGCAGCTCACAGCAAGAAGTCCAAAGGCTGGTTTCATGACAAACCATTACAATTCAGCCATTCTGTTTAGTCTGCATTTTACTGACAAACATTCCTCTGCACACACGGGATTACACCCTACAATCCCATTTCAGCCTCATTTTCTCCCCCAGAACACTTACTGGTACATTTGCCAATCCTTCAGAGTGCTATTTGTACATCCATAATAGTTTGCTTGTTGTTCTGTCTTCCTTTCCCCCCAGTCATTACTCAGTTGCAGTTTCCTTCTCTCCACAGCTTCAAGAAAGTTATTTAGTGACAGTTGTTTACAGACAGAATGTCTGGTTTAAAAGCAAAAGCAAAATGGTCCTTAAAAAATACAACAAAGACCCTAAAATAAATACATCCAAGTCATGTTTTCCTAGGAAACAGGCAGCACTCTCTGTTTGTCAGCTCAGTTTTAACTTCTCATGAACTGAGTTGTCTCCTTCTGCAACTTTATCGAGCCTTTTTGAGTAGCAGAGCATAAAAAAAAAAAAAAAAGCCCTGTTGTCAAAAGAGGAAGAGCACAGCACTTACCCCAAGTTGCTGCAAGCTCCACCCAAGAACTGATCTCACAGGGAGTCCCAACTGAGCCTTCAGAAGCCAAATAGCTTCCCCGAAGAAATGATGTCAAATAACATGTGTTAATAAGCATGAAAGCAGCCCACAAATTATTTACATCCATGCATGAGAACTCTTTTCTTCTGCAGAGACCACCACACTCATCTCAGCACTCTGGTGATGGCACGACACTGAAATCCTACTTGGTGGTGGTCCATGAAAGAATCCAGCCTGTGAGAAGGAATAACTGCCTGATTATTTACCCAACTGTAGAGCTTTTTGCAAAGTGAAGAAGGGCTTGCACAGGAAATGACTAGATAGATTTCTCAGTAAAAGAGAGAGCCAATGAGTGCACTGCTCTTATATGGGAAAGCTGGCTGGCTATTGCAAATTCATCATGCTTAACTCCTTCCTGCACAGAAAACATCTTGTGGTTTCCAACAGCCCATTTAGACTGCAGGGGATGATCAAACCCTGGCAGTGCCAGAGCCTGTAGTTCAGCTGTGAGGTTGGTCACAAGACACTCTGCCCCAAGGAAAGCAAGAATGCATGAAAACATCTGAAGTCAACTGTTTCTGTGGGAAGTCAGTTCTCACACAATTTCACACACCACCATTAGGAGGCAAAGCAAACCCTAACAGACAAACCAGCCAGAATGTTATAACAAGCAGCAGCTGCTCATCACATGGACATGAGCCTTCACAAAGCAGCCCCACCTCATAACTACTTATGCCACTGGTTACTTAATTTGCCACTGGTGCTCAGTTCTTGATGGGCTCCTTCTGGGAAGGATCACCAAGTCTTGGACAAGCTATTTCTGGGAGCACAGGTGGCCATCCACACAACAGACTGTAGCTGACACCGTGCACATGCACTAGCATTGTTCACTTATCACTCTGAAAACAGGACCCCTGGGACACAGAAGACATCAGACTGCATGAAGTGTCTTAGTTTTTTTCTCCCCTAACAGAACTGTGGTCAGAGGACACAGCATGATCATTATTCCCAGTAGCAACAATACAGGATGACATTCAGCACCTTCGATGGCCTTTCAAAGCACAAAGTTATTGTCATCCACGCTATGAAGAGCACTGATGGTTACAAAGCCATATCTGTGATCCAGAAATCATCTAGCAAATCTCGTTAATTAACAAAACGGTATAGAACTCTTTTAACCAACAGCTTGACAGCTACGAATTAGTTAACAAGCGCTCCAAAAATGTTGAGAAGAGATGCGTCACATCCTGACATATTGAACTCTGGCTATGGATTTTTTCCAAAGCTACCACAGGCTTACTGAGAACCCAAAGCAATATTCAATTGACAGGACAGCTGAACAATGTGGGGTTCCCCGGAACATTAATTTACTTGGGTAACAACAGATGTAGAATCAAGCAGGATAGTTTAGCATAAACTTCCCCCCACAGCTTTCATGAGTCAGCCCACCATCCTAACCAGGGAATGAAATCAGCCTACAAAAGTGCATCATAACAGATTTGGTTCTGCTCATCTGGTTTTAATAGTTTACACAGAGGAAGGCAAATGTGCAGTTTGCTGGGAAAGGAATCACTGCCAGCTGGGAGGTCAGTGCAGCAAAACAGAAACATGGAGCTGCTGGGAGAACACAGAAACATCAGTATGCATGCACACATGCGCACACACTTTCATAGGGAGGATGCTATGACAAACATTTGCATTTCCACTTTGGAGAAGCCAGGCACAAGAAAACTTCAAACCGCAAAGAGAGGAGTTAAACTCGAAGTGAAGTTTTAAGTTCAATCAAAGAAAGTATTTCAAAATGAGCACTGCAGCACAAGCACAGATGATAGACGCTGTATGAAGAAGCACAGCAATTCATGGCAGAAAAAGCAGTGATTCAAACCTGATTAAAGAGAATGCAACAGGAAGCAGAAGGGAGGACAGCTTTCTGAAAAGGTGTGAATGAACATCTCCTAATGTATTCTCTGATCGTGCACAGACTATAGATGAACACACCAATTTTTACCAAATACTGAAAAATACTTTTATAATTAATACCATATTTTCTGTATGCCGTAAACAGAAAAACAAAGTCACTTACTTCTGTCTGTTGTTTAATTACAGCTTTGATCTGTAGCCACTGTAAAGGGCAGCAGTTCAAAATCACCCTCACAAAAGAAAGAAGTCTGTAAGAGTTGCACGTAGAGAGGAGCATTAAAAGGTTTTCTGGCACAACGGGTGGGTGAGCATTTCATTCAGACCTCATGGAGGTCACAAGGCTAAAAGAGAAGACCATACTTTTAAAGGTGCTCTTTCAGACTTGGGGAAATATCAAGCATTTTTGCAATGCCAAATTTTTGTACGACTGTTACACAAAACTCAAACTGGAGGGATGAATTTCAATTTGTTATAATTATGCAGATGGAGCCTTACAATGTTAGAAGGACCAGACGGTGCCCAATTTAAAATCCAAATATTCTTAAACATAACTACTTTTCAAAACTTGCTACTGCCCCAATAGCTCAATTATTTACACAACAGTGTTTTGCTAACTACTGGTCTTGCATCGCTGCATTTAAATGCCCCCATCTATTATTACTTTTCAGGCCTTTGAAGGAAGTATCCACCCCTCATATTCCTTCAGTGGAAGTGCCTTTGTACTCAATATATCCTTTTCTACAGGATTACAGCCTGAAGAACTGCTCCACTGACAATCAGAAAATCAACAAAACACAAAATCCGCTTCAAAGTAACATTTCTATGCAGCAACAGTGACACCAGGTGGTCACTCCACGATCCTGAATTGTTGCTGCTTAACACTGAAAAACAGCACAAGCAGCTGCAAGCACACCCTTAGGAGAAATATTGTCCTTCAGCCAGGGTAGCACTGCAATGCTGCAGCACCTCTGAATTGCACTTCTTGCACTTCTGCTGTTCTGTGCCATTTCTAGTAAGCCACATATAGAGTTAATTAACTTTCAGCACGAGCCTCACCTGGTGGGCTGGGAAACCAGCGTGTGGCACATAGGTAGTTTTGCACAATCAGTCCAGGCTGCACAAACCAGGCCTGAGCTGCTCCCCAGCCACCACCCCAGCTCGGTTTGGGCTGAATGCACTGTGGTTAATGAGTGCACGCTGAGGAAGCTGGTGCAGACCCACCCATGCCTACACATCACGTTCCCAGGGTCGCTGCTCTTGCAGAGCAGGCCGGACCCAAAGCACAGCTCTCCATGTGCACTTAATGGCACTTAGGAAGCCTGGGTTCTACGCTGCATTTGAACAACACTTCAGCAACAGTTCTCATTCAGTAACTGGCTTTGGAAAAACCTACCTGCCCCTTACAGACTTGTTCCTTACCCAAAGCAAACAAAAACCCCCTTGAACCCACAGCCTGCCTTATCTGACCAGTTAGCTATTGTGACTGTTACCACACAGCACTGCTTCATCATTAAAAGAACCTGAGGAAGGACATCTCTTAATTATGATCCAGGGAAGATAAAGCAGCTGATTTCACTGTGAGCAAATAATCAGCAGAAAAAGTAAATTTATTCACTGCCATATCTCCTCTGGACTGTGAATTACTCGGGGAATTTATACACTAAGGAAAGCAGGGAATCAAAACCTGCTACAAAGGATACTAATCGCAGCTGTAACCAGCAGCAGTGTGTTTAAATTAGCTACAATCAGCAGGTTAAATCTCCCCCCACGTTCACACACACATTAAGAATGCAGTGCCAGTGGCAGCCCTGCTGTACCAGTCATTTCCAGGACATGCTCAGTAATGTTAGATGGGAATCTGGTATTTGAGAGACCCTGTACTATGCACCATCAGTAATGAACAAAGTGCACTGGTACAGAAACACTGTGCAAAGAGAGTATGGATGCTGACTCCCTTTGAACACTTAAGCAGCTCTTAATATTCAACAGATCAAGGTCTTGACAGCCATGATCCTTATAGCCTGCTTAAGTTTCCATAAAAAGGGACTTAGATGACAACATCCATCCTTTAAGGTCCATTATTATGTGGCTGAATGATCATTTCAAACCTCACCTCGTATTCCCCAATGCCTGCTTGGATGGAAATCAGTTCCAAATGCTTTTGTGAAGGCGTTTAACCCGAAGAGATCCACTGCACCCACACCTCTGCTATGCAGTACTGAAAGCAGCCATTTTCATTAGAGCTGATCAATTCAAGCAGGCCTCCCAAACTGCCCACAACAGTGCAGCACTTACTGCACAAAGCCCTTCCTCAGATAAAAAGTGTTTGATGTAGTAAAGCCTACAACCAAACAGCCCACTTCCATTTTATGAGTGGAACAGACAACGCAGTTTTAAACATTAAAATACCTAACTGGCAAGCCACAGACACAGCCTGCACCACGGACAGTGGGACAGAAGTCACACCTAACTGTGAGGTAATGGAATCTCAGGACCACCCATCTTAACACAGTTCACAACCCACACCCACTACCTTAGTCCTACAGCCTTAATGTAGTTTGATAGCAGCTTTCTGAAGTCCTTACTGAACGCTGTATCCTTTCTGGAAATACAGAATCATGTTAAATTCTAGAAAGAATTAGTGACACAGTATTGATGTTTAGACTTTGTGTTGATTCACCCTCAAACACCTCCACAGCCCACACAAAGATGCTTAAGCCACCATAAAAGAAAGCCAAAAGGAATGTGTCATTTATATATACTAGGTTTACTAGCTTAAACTGAGACAGACAACAGAATATAATGTGCAACAGAAAACTTTATTAGCATTTCAACATACAGATCAGCAGTTACTTAAGTTTGCATTTAATTTAAGACATTAGAAAGACTACAGTGCAAACACAAGTGCTGTGCATCTTGCTTGACAAGACTGCTGACAACTAATAGCCACCCCTGAGGCGCAGCACCAGGTGCAGGGTGGACTCTTTCTGGATGTTGTAGTCAGACAGGGTGCGCCCATCTTCCAGCTGCTTGCCAGCAAAGATCAGCCTCTGCTGATCGGGAGGAATGCCTTCTTTATCCTGGATCTTGGCCTTCACGTTCTCAATAGTGTCACTGGGCTCAACCTCAAGGGTGATGGTCTTGCCAGTCAAGGTTTTCACAAAGATCTGCATGCCACCTCTCAGGCGCAGCACCAGGTGCAGGGTGGACTCCTTCTGGATGTTGTAGTCAGACAGGGTGCGGCCGTCTTCCAGCTGCTTGCCAGCGAAAATCAGCCTCTGCTGATCAGGAGGAATGCCTTCCTTGTCTTGGATTTTGGCCTTCACATTTTCAATGGTGTCACTGGGTTCAACCTCAAGGGTGATGGTCTTGCCAGTCAGGGTCTTCACAAAGATCTGCATGTTTACCTGTAAAACATACAGAAATTTCAGCCTTAAGTAAAATTACCTTAAGCCCACACATACTTTATATACGAGAAAACGACTCACTAATTTGCATTACGTTAATATCATTTAGGATTTCTGTAATCTATTACTAACCCTGTTACTCCTGTTCTCCAGCTCTTTATTGGAGTAGTACCCAATATTTCTCAAAGCCCAAGCAGTACCCATGCAGCACAGAGCCAGCCCAGCCCCCCTTCCCCTAACTGCAAGGCAACCCCCCTCCCCCCCCACCCTGGGCTCTCACGTTGGCAGAGCCGCCCGGCGCTGACTCAGCCCCCCGCTTCCGGGCAGGACAACGCCGCATCCGCCATCTTTTCGAACATCCTCCTTTTCTCGAACAGAATCTGCCCCCCCCCCCCCCCCCCCAGCCCAGTTTTCAACGTCGTTAGGACGGACTACAAACACTACAAACTCCACAACCACCACCCTTCAGAAACGCTATTTAAAGAAGACTCACTCCAACGCTTTCTGTCTCCGTGACTAGAAAACAAACAAAAAACCCATGCCTTTCCCCTCCCGCCCCAGCACTCCCACCACACAACTCACGTCTCCGGCCCTGAGCGCAGCTCCCGACAAACACAAGTCCCAATGCAGCAGCTGTGTTCTACAGAGTGACGCAGCGCCGCCTGTATTTATGCGCCTGCCGCGACACAGTCCCCGCCCCTCGAACGCTGACGTATCCATCCACCTCTCAAAGTAGTCCCTCACAAAACCCCCCTGGTAAAACAAATACTTGCCTCTCTACCTCTCCAATCTCTCTTCCACGAGCAAAGGGGGTCCCTGATGCTTTCGGCAGAGAGCTGAGACCCTTAAAAATCCCCAAATTTCGGAGGGTGCGGATGGATCTGGAGCTGCGGTGAAACGGCTACTCCAAACGACGGCAAGGTCGGCGCTGATTGGTGCAGCAGTAAGAAAGGCGGCTGCTGATTGGTTGATAGGGAGAGGTCGTTGTAAAGAAAGCTCTGGAAGATTCGAGCGCTGCAGCGTTCCGATTGGTGCGCGGTGAGGTCAGCCCTGTTGCTAGGGCGGCCCTGTGCTGCGGGGGCAGATTTCGGTGGGGGGGGGGGCAGGAAGAGGGAGGCCGTGCAGGCCCTGTGGCGATGGGCGCGTTGTGTTTAGGCCGCATCTTTTTTTTTTGACAGCTATTGCTTAGGGCAGGGAGAAGGGAGCAAAAGGAGCCCCGTAACCACAGCATCACAGCTCGTTTCTGGGATTGGAATAGCTGGGGCCGCTCCCGTTGTGTGTGGCTGTAAGGAAAAGCCAGGAAGAGCAGAAATGTGTTTTAGAAGAGCTGGAAATCGTTACATAGGAAGCTGGCAAGCGTTAGCAGCTGCTGATGTGTCACACTGGCTCTGCTCTCGTCCTGATTCCTGAGCCGCCCTCAGCTGCCCTGCCTGGCAGCTCCTGGGTGCTGTGAGACCTCTGCTGCAATGCTGGCATCTGCTGCTGAAACGGCTGTTAGCTGCTTTCAGAGCAGGAAGCCCTGAGCAGCTCACAGAGCAGCTTCCTGCTGCGAGCCAACGTGGCAGCGTTAATTAAAGTTCATTATGCCTTTCGGACCGGCTCTCATGTCGTAACCGGGGTATGCAAAAGCCAGAAAGGTTTTCATGCTGTTTCGTTCGCTGCTGGGTGAACGCAGATGAATTTGCTGGTAAATCCTCTGCTCAGGAAGCATGAACGTGCTGTGAATAGCAGGATTTAACGCAGAGCGATGAGCTGTATTTCCCTCCATTAAAAAGAAAAACCTTTGGTTTTGTTTCTTTTAGCAAGGCCCCGCGTCTGCTCAGCACTTCGTGGTTTACGGTAAGAAGGAAATAAATCTTTCCAGCAGTTACTCAGAATGTAGACAGGAAGGGAGGAAAAGAGTAACTGGAAAGCTCAGAGACTGTTCTGGGGCAGTCACCAACCTCTGAGATACCATTCAGCTACACAGATTTAGGACAAAGGGCGGATTTAAGCAATATTACATGTGTTTCCTTAATGCTGCCAACTTTGCTCACTGTTTCCAGTAGATTCATTTTGTGTGCATAGTGCCAAAGCAGTAGATGTTAGAGCCAAGGCAGCTGAACAAGTTGCTCTGAGAGGAAAGCCATGAGAAACTAGAAATAATATTTATAAATGTGAAAGGCCACTGCTGCTAAACTGGAGATTAATCATAAGCTAATCTAAAGCTTGGCCCAGGTGTCTCGGGCTTGCATTAAGGATTTCAGCACTTCCAGAAAATGCCAGAGCTCTCCCTTTAACAAACAAACAAACAAAGTATTGGCAAAGCCTATGACTGAACTGTTTACAAAAGCAGTTGTTTGTTTTCTAGTTAAATAGGAACTTAGATAAGTACTTTAGTATGTTTACTGCCCTTCCTCCAGTAGCTCTAGGTGAATAAGCAACTGACTGTGGACTGTATATAAATAAATGCAAACCTGAAAATACAGAACGCTGTGTCTTGTGACTGGACTGAGTGCACAGGTGGTTCCAGACTTTGCCAGGGTGCAGGGCCTGCTGCTGGGGACACGTGTTTCTTGCCAGCAATTTCAGAAGTAGGTCATTGGGCAGCAGTACAAAGTAACCTGCTTTCAGAAGAGAAAAACTTGGGGTCAAAGAAATGTTTCCAATGAATCTGAACATTCTAGAACACGGTGTCTGTTTTTATGTACGCTACCATCTTAGCAACAGCATAGCATTTCCACATGAGCAATGTCAAATGAAGCAATCTGTTTATCTTTAGTTACAAAAGTTTAACTTGGGGCAGCTGGACAATGAGAGGACTTGTGTATGTGTTGCAAGATCAGTACTTTTCCTTTGTCCAGATAAAAATGGGGTACTTGCCATATGGAAAAACAGTATATTGTCCTACCTCTTAAAGTTACTCACACATACCTCAGGTTTATCTTACTCTATATGACACAGGATAATTACATTTATCTATTTATGTTTGTGGAGATATTTTCTCCCCAAACCTGTAATGCTGCAATAACACCCAGTCACAAGACAAACAGAGCTGTGGCGTGTTACTGCTTGTCCTTGTACAGCCAAGCTCAAGGGTTACAGGAATAACAAGTCACAATTCAAAGTACTGTATGATGGACTGTAATGTTATGACATTACCAAAAAAAGACAACTCTCTGAGTTTTGTTTTGTTTTTCTAAGCCTTATGCTAAGAATAACTTAAACAAGGTTTTTAATAAGCTATCAAATTCAGGAGCTGAAAACTTCATAAAAATAACTAGCTGGATTTGTAATAAAATAGGAAAATTGGGCAATACTTATTTGTCCCCCTGTCTGTTTAAAGCATAGTTTGACTTTGCAGGATACAGGAGATACAGCTTTGTTTTAAGAGCTGTGCTTCTACCATCAACATGCTTGGGCTTTTTTGTCCTTCTCTGAATGATCCAGAGGAAGATATGGCAATTCACTTCCTGAAGTCAGGAGACTTTTACAGGGACACCATCAGTCTGAAATCACAGGTTTGTGCCTGCACACAATGCCAGCGAAAGCAACAATATCTGGGTCTGTTCTAAAAATTACATGTCTGTGTCTTTGCAGTCTGTCTTCTGCTTACGAGTCTGCTGGAGCCGATCCAAACTGCACTGCAGTGGAGGAGCTCTCTTTGTTCGTGTTTTCTTTGCTGCGTCTGAGCTGATTTAGTGTGTGGTTTCAGGGATGGGAGTTTTCAGCAGCACAGCAGAGAAACATCTTGAAAAACAGAAAGAACTAAGTCTAGAATGCTGTGAATAATTATTAACATTTTTCTATTGAACAACAACACCGTGAAGGCCATTCTGAACAGCCTTTGTCCATCAGACCCTTTGTCTTCAGATCCAGCTCGGATCCCTTGATAAGGAGAATGTCCAGAAAGGTCCCCCCCCATGACATTAAGACTAAAATCCAAACACTGATATTTTTCTCCCCTGTACAAACTGTGTAATCTTTAACGTCTCAGCGCTTTTAAGCATGGTGTTAGCTACAAACTACTTCTAGTTTCCCATTTGTTGGACCAAAAGCATCTACATTTTCTAGTTCTCTTAAACCCACAAACATGTCGCTGCTTTTAGTGCTGCTTTTGCAGTGAAAATGCCCTTCCAGGCAGGATCTCCACACAGGCTGCAAGCCAGGTCTGCATAGCTGAGTCATTGTTATACAAGCAGAGCTGCATGGCACAGAAAAGCACCTTTGTACTTCAGCACTAAAATACGTCAGCTGTTGAACTTTGAATATCGTGATACACCCAAAGAGAACAGTCATTTACTGGACTTTTCTTCCTCTTATCTTTCTCACCCTCTTTCTGAAGGTTTCTTCCTTTTCTATTTTGTTTCAGAAGCTTTAGAGGAAAACATTTTTTATCTTCTACTGCCACGAATGGTTGGTAAACCTTGGAAATAATCAATGTGAAGGCTGTTAACTCTTCAGGCACTGGGTAACATCTAACACCACACATACATGTGCACCCCAATTCTATATGCAACCACTGAAATTTAGGACTTGCAATCAGAATACCAGTAAAATTTAACATCAGCCAGAGATCTGCTATGAAGTTCTAGCATTGCCTCTTCCTATGAGGCCCAATTTTGAGCTTCATGAGTCCTTTGATACAAATGAAAAAAGAGGAAGAATATTTTTGCCTTAACCTTCTGAAATGACTGCATTCTGCTTTTCAATTTTTTTCTTTCTTGCAGCTCTTTACCTTGAAACATCATAGGGGAACAGAATTTAGCTTCTCAAAATGCTTCCTACATTTAAAATACATTGAATTAATAGTGGAGATAAGTGGAAAGTGACAGATTTGCATCTATGACATAGATTACACACTCCAGTTTTCACCCAGGACGGTGTACAGATGTTTAGTTCCCCTCCAAACAGGCAGGTGGCCGTTTGTGAACTGATCCATAAGCAGCTCCTATAACACTCTCTGCCTTTTAGTTTTGTGCTGTTCTTGTTTTTAGAGGACAGACCACTGTAGGCTGAAACCTGCAGTGCTGCAGGCCATACCCACACCTAGGGCAGATAAAGCCATGCTGCAGACTACACAGACTCGGTTTCAGCTCACGGTCTCCAGTTTCACCTGAGTGACATTTCCTCCCGAAATATAAGGTGACTAACATGAAGTTGAGTGTGACTAAAAGTCTGGGAGTGGCCCAGATCAGGCACTTCTGAAGAATGTGCTGACATGGACCAGAACTTGTCACATACAGCATATTTAAAATGGTTCCATTAGAATGAATAACGAGTACAGAAGTTCAGATGGGGAATAACAGGAAACTGTAACTCAGTACCCCTTCCTATCATCAGTAAAGGGTGATGCTGAGCCACTGGATTGTTATTCGAGTCCTTCTATGTGCCAGCTCAGGAGGCAGCCCACACACTGCAGATGCATGTTTTTAAAGCTGTTTTCCAGACCAGAGAGTGCTGATGGACGTTTCATCATCGTCCAGTTGCTTTGCTATATTCCTGGATGAGACGTGACCCTCTGTGCCTGTTCTGCCCCATACCAGACTAGTAACTCACTTGTTTACATCTCTCCCTGTTCCGCTTCCAGAGAAGAGCAAGGCGTTAAGAATTGTTGCCAAAACAAACTATTGATTGTCTCTCCAACAAAATAAATTTCTACTCCAGCCACACTGGGAGTGATTTTTTTTCCCCCCACCAAATGTAACTTAGATGCCTACAAATTCTTCTCCTTTACCCCACGTTGAACAGTTTCA